AGCTCTGCCCTCTGCACACAACGTGTCTCGGCCACGCGGTTACCCAACTAATCATTGCTGCTGAGCGAGCCCTTACCCAAACTCGAGCGCTCCTGAACGCGCCGTGCACAGCCTGCTGACCTCTAAACTCTGAAGTGCAGCACAGGAATCCGGCTCCTTTTGTGCTTCCCGCACGGAAGTCATTAGGTTGGAGGCCGCAGCGAGCAGGACGGCGCTGCAAGTGCTTCTTGGCAGGACAGAGCAGGGCGCTGGGCTCTGCGTGGCACTAACTGCTGTCGGCACCGCTGCTCTTCGGGTAGGACTCTGATGTGCGTCGTTGTCTCAGGGTGCAAATTAAAGTCACTGTAAGTCATTCCTGCTTGCTGCTTGTTTGCATTGCCTGTGTTTATGCCTGCGTGAGTAAAAGGGGAGAAAAATCCCATGGCTACACAAAGCTGTATTTTGTTGTATTTTATCAGGGAAAACAACACAGTATGCTGATGTGCCAGGGTTAATGACTGCTGGAATCTTAGTCTGTGTGTGTTATTTGCCGGGTAGGCTTCACAAAAGGGTAAGGCAAAGCCCTTGTACAAAGCAATGCAGTCACTTAAAATTAAGAACTTAAAAGGTGAGTCTTTTAACAAAACAAAAACTTCAGCTGTGGACACTGAAGACTCATTTGAAGTTCAGTGTTTGCAAACTGTGGGGGGAAAAAAGCTGCAGTTCTGATTGTTCCTGCAACAAAGGACCTGCTCCCTAACCTGGCGCTGCCCCAGGCACAGAGCAGAGAGGTCCAAGAGCTCCTGCCCCTTCAGAAAGGACAAGTTTTAGAGAGCTGGTTGGTGTTTCGTAAGCACAGAGTAGGTTGGTTCCTGTACTCGTCTGTTCACAGTCACCCATTTTGGGAAGTGTTTCCCTATAAACCACATCCTTAATATGTTCCCCCGAGTAACCGGTGTGAGCTGCTCACTGAGGAGCACGCGGGGTGTCCGTGGGGTCTGAAACTGCCCCTCGCTGGCACTGCAGCAGCATCTCATCCACTGGGGACAAAGCCACAAACACCGTTTGTGACGGGAGAAAATATATATATTTTTTTTCCTTTAAGTATCTTTCCATGTTTGCTGGAGCCCAAACTGGCAGTAGTACAGGACAGAAAAGCAAATACTGCGCTTTCCAGTCCTTTGGGGCTAAGCAAAAGTTGTCCCAGCCTTTGCCCACTTTTAATGATTTCTCAGAAGCCCTGGTCGCGGGGACACCAGGTGGGACAAGGCGCTTCTGCCCGGTCCACACGTGTCCCAACCGGGCCTCTGTCCTGGGGACACGGCATCAGTTGGGTGCTCTGTGCCCCAACACCCGCAGCACCTACAGGCAAGGGCGGTGTGAGGTTCTGCTGTTTACCCAGCGCCCAGCCCGCTGACCTTGAGGCTCCTCAGCAAGAACAAGATACCGTGTGAGCTCAGCGGCCTCCTGGGCTGCAAACACCAGTTGCAAGGAGCATCCTGCAGCTCGGCCTTGGTTAGTTAAGGAATTGAGGAGAAGCGGGCGCCGGGACTGTGCGTGAATTAGGAGACGTAAAATAAAACCACTTCTATTCCAGCAGCCTCCAGTTCTCCTGGGCATGGTCTAGGCCTTCAGTTGTGACGTTGTCTTAGAATAATTTAATCTCAGCTTACTCTGACCCCTGTGCTCAAGGCCTGTGTGCACTGGGCTGCCTGCAGGCTGTGAGGCTGCAATTCCGGGGCCGAGGGGGTGTTGCTGCAGCCGGCCCCGCGCTCGCCGTATGGTGCCCGGGGCACGGCGGTCTCAGCAGCTTTCTCACCGACTGTTCGTGCCGGTGTGACAGCACAGGCTATTGCCCATCGCGTGGCAGTGGAGGCTGTTGCCCGTCATGTGCTTGTACTGGCCTCCCTGGCACTGCTGCCGCACAGGGGCAGATTCCATGGGCTGGCCTGAGACTTGGTGCCAGGAAACGATCCCCAACCAGAGCTTGTCGTTTCTGGCCTCTGCTGCTGCTGTTGTGCCTTAAAAAATAGATTGGTTCATCCCAAGGCAAAGGCCTCAGTTACATCACATTTATCTGCTGTGCAGATTGTCTTTTGTACAAATAGGCTTGGTTTTTTTTTGCCGCCCTTGGCGGCACAGACCTGTCACCTGAGACTCCTCGGCCCCCTTCAGATAATTAGGGCTGCCTCCCATTCAACGCAGTGGTTGCCGTGGGGTTTCTGAGTGACGTCTCTGACATCCTCGCAGTGTATTGGTGTGGTGCCACTTGGCCTTTTTTAGCATGTGAAAGAAAACAGAAACTGTTGGTTCTGGAGCCGAAACTGCTCAGATGAGGTGGCAAACGGTCCCTGGGGTTTATTCTGAGCTCTGAAACCAATGCCCTGCCCAGTCGGCGCTGACGTGATGTGACTTCAAAGAGACGGAAAGAGACTTCATTTTTATTTTCTTCTTTCACTTTCTTTGGAAGACCAAAGTAGCCGTCTGCCGCAGCCTCTTACAGCGGAAGGTTTCGGAGCGTAAGCGTTGACCTGTGAAAAGGAGCACTTGGATCTAGACCCTGGCTGTGATGAGGTCTGGCACGTCCATTAGGGCCAATTAGGGTGACAGGTAGCAGTGTAAACAGCTCCCGCTGCCCCGTCTGCGCCGCTCCTCTGCGTCGCGGTGGAAAATGCCCTTCGGCTTGCACGGCCTCCGGAGCACAAAGCAGCCCTTGCAAAGCCGGCCCGGCGGCTTCAGCAGGACGGCTCGGGAGCTGCAGGTTAGTCTTGCTGTTGGGACCTGTTGTTCTTGTATTGTGTGCTCGGCCAAGATACAGGCATCGGTGTGGAACAACAGTCCATGCTTGTGTCCGGCACCCCGGCAGGCATCTCCGAATGCTGTCCAGTACTGGGTGCTGGATTGGGTCTTTGGAGTTAGCTTGTCCTTAGGAATCTCTTCCACCACGTGCAGCAAGAGTGTCTGAGGCTCTGCCTTAAACTGTGCTACAAATATATTAGACTTGAGTAACTAAACAGTCAGAGAAAGCTCTTGGGTTGAGCAAGCTGTAATTTGAGGCCCTAAAATAGCTCTTTATTTGAACAGCTTTGTGAAATGATCGTTCCCTGCACAGTGATCTTCAACTCCTCGAGAGATTTCAAACTTTCAGCTATTTTGGGAAACTTGCTGGCCTTTTCAGGCTGAAATAGGAGACAAGCAGCTTCCCTCCTCCTCTCCTCCCCGCCAACCCTCCCGAGTGCCTTTTCCGTGTGCGGCAGCTCCCATTGCAGCTCCCAGGAGCCGCGTGCCGCTGTCGGAGGTGCACGGTCCTGCCGCGCGCAGCTGCGTTTCCTCAGGATCAATGGAGCGGTCGGCATTTCCCTGCTGGGCCCCAGGAGCAAACGTGTAGGTGAGCAGGACCTGTTCCTCAGAGCGCATGTGCAGCCCAGTGGGATCAGGCACGTGAAGCTCCATGCAGGAGCAGCGTTTTTCCCAAGGGCAGTGGCCAGTGCTGCCTTCCCAGTGTCCTGGCCCATGAGGAGGGGAGAGGGAGCCCAGCATCCCTTTCCCAGGAGCATGTGTAGGGATAAGTAGCATCTCTTCCGAGAGCGCCAAGCCCAGCACAGCTCTGCACGGTGCCTCCCGTGCCTCCTGCTGCCTCCCACGCCGTGAGGGCGGCCTCTGCTTCACCCGGCCTCACCCCAGGGAGGCTCGGGCTGCACAAGAGCCTCCTCCGGAGGAAGGGAATTCATTAATGCCGGGAAGTGCCCTGGCTTGCTGGGCAGCAGGTGCCTCTACAGAGCAAAGTGCTGCTGAATGTGTGACAGCGACGCGGGCGGCTGGCCCGGTGCCTGCCGAGCGCTTGGGGCCGCGTTGAGCAGCCGCTGCGGCAAGTGCAGAGCTCTGCGTGCAGCACGGCTGGGCTCTGCTGCTGCTTTAACATGATACTCGCCCCTTTAGATATTTTTTAATGGGAGCGTTCATGTTCATAAGCAGCAACTTCATCCTTCTTGACTCAGCTGGTGAGGACGGGCGGTGTCTGGTAGAACTGGAAATGCAGCAGTTCCTGTTCAGGTTGGCTCCGGCTTCGGTGCGAAACGCGCCCTGAACAGCGCGAGTGACTCGGGGCAGAAAGGCCGTTAACTCCTGCTTGGGCTCGGCGGTTGGCTGCTCACAGCCTAGCCGAGAACCGCTTGTACTCGCTTGGTACACGCAGTGCGGTGGTTGTGTGAACTGTGGAGGGATCAATGGAGAGGAGAGGGATAAATGGAAGGAGGCTTTGTGGCACTGCACGGGTGGAGGCGTCTGTGCTGCGCTTATAAATCAGGAACGCAAATGGGAGGAGAAGAGGTAGCCAGGGAGTAGCTGGAAAGAGAAGTGAGCCCTTTGCCTTTAGAGATGCCAACCAACGTTTAATTGCTAAGAGACTTTAAAAAAAAAACCCTCTAGGCTGCTATTAGAAAAGCAAATATGTGATGTTACCTGCAAGGAGAAATTTGTGCGCTTACAAACTCATTGCTGGGGGATCTGGCACCTGCTCAGCTGGATCAGGCCCTTGTCAGCTCCCCTCCATATGGATTTTACACGAGTTTCCTCCAAAGGTCAAGTGAGCTGTTGCTCTTATCTGTCATGTTTTTATATAATCCATAGTAGTACATAGGATAACTAAGAGTTGGTCCTATGATTAGGTTTTTGCAGAAGTTCCTTTTTAAAGAACCCTGTGAGGATATTTATTACTCTCGTTGTATTTGGAGAGTAAATTAGGGCAACACTGACTACATTTTATAATGGGTTCCTGTGTCCCTAACCTAGAGAAGTAAGTCAGAGATGCAGCATTCAGGGCCTTACGGGAGGAGCAAGCTACGTCAGCGGCTTGCAGGACCCAGCCTTTGAAAAGCAGGTCAGGCTGCTTGTTTTATGGCTCTTATTTCATGCCAGACACGTTTATCCCAACATCCAGAAAACTGGTTGTGGCTGTTGCTGTTTCTCCCCCTGCTGCCTTGCAGGATGGTCTGAATTGCATCTCAACTCTTCTTTTCCAGGGCAGTGAAATCCAGGACTGCGCCTACTTGGACAACGAAAGCGCCTACAGCGAGTCGGAGCTCTTTCCTGATGAGGACACCATGACTCTAGCACAACAAGAGCTTCACCATGAGTCCGACATGGACAGTGCTATTGAGAGTGCTCAGAGCTCGGAGGCCTCCGACATCTGTCGCAGCGAGGACAAGGACAGCGGCCTCGGTGGCCTCTTCCTGCCCGGAGACAAGTGAGTGGTGGTTCTGCCCCTCAGAGGTCCTGTATTGATGCATGTGTCAAAGGAAGAGGGAAGAAGGAGCCTTTGCTTGGCTAATCTTTCGTGTGGGAGGGCCCGAGGATGGCTGGAGGATTTAAAAACCTAATATCCATTTAAAATACAAGGGAGATGGATGTCCAGGTCCTGTAAGTGGCTTAGATGGTCTCAGTCCTGGCTCCTTCTGGCACGTTTGGTGAGCACCCGTGGGATTTGCATGCTGTTTATTGAAATGAAGGCTGCCCTTCTCCAATATGCATCACCGTATTGGCACCACCCCAAATGTAGGGTTTTCTGTGTTCCTAAGCCCTTTGTGTGCTGGGATTAAAATAGGAATCTCGTGCAAACCAGCGCACCGTGGGGAATGTTGCTTTAGCCTTTTGTCCACCAAGTTGTCTGGAGGCCTAGGCTCTGCTCATGTCCTTTGCTGCTTCGTGTGCCAAGTTAATTCTTTATGTTTCTAATTTTCCATGACGTATAGCGTGCAGCAGTAACCTGTGCTTAACACAGGGTGTCCTAGCATGCATGTGTATAACCCCGGCTTGCTATTAACACAAGAGTGTCTCTGTAACCCTAACTTTACTTCAGGCAGAGTTTGGGGGCAGAGGGGGATGTGCTGCTGGTCCAGCTTGATTCAGTCTTGCTTGGAACTGAGTTAATGCCACAGCACGGGACAGAGCCCAGCTAGGCCTGCTCCATAGGCCTCTGCCATGTCTTCCCTATTTTCAACTTTGCACCTTGGTTTGTGCCTCTTGAGCTTCGTTCTCTTGCAAAGACTAGCCTCGTTCCCTCTCCTGGGCTGTGTCGGGGCTCTCTGCTTTGTTCCTGGCCTCCTCTGAACTCTCAACTCACCAAGCTCCAGCCCTCTTATCCCACCAGCAATCCCGGAGGCTTTATCAGGGTAATTTCTGTTTTCACCAGCTCCTTGTGAATTTTGTCTCCTTACCTGCCACTCCTGGTTCCTCTAACCATCCTTGCAGTTACTGACCTTCACTCTCGCTGCCTTCAAAATGGGTTTCTTTCCTCCTGCTTGAGCGACGTGGGCTCTTGCGGAGGACAGAGACTCCCTGCATCCTGTGCCCTCCATCTAGGGGACCAAGGGCTGCCAGGAGCTCAAAGCATAGAGCAAATTGTGCTTTGTTCTGAGGCCTACTCAGTTTTAATATCTTGTGATAACATTGGGGAACAGTTTGGGAAGCTTTATATTTTTGTACTAGAAGACACAATACAGACTTCAGCTTTGGCCAGACACTTGTTTAGGAAGTGGGTGGGTTGTGTACTAGGTACCTCAGCCCTCCGCAAAGTCATACTCTCAAGAACAGGAAATAGTTTAAAAAAAAAAGTTCCCTTTAAAAACTGTTAGAATGGGAGTAACAGCCACTTTTAGCAACTGTCTTGAAAATAACTGAGCAGTCTCTCGAATGAACGTGGCAGTTGCAGAGCTTTTAGCTGCCCCAAACCCTCATCAGCACGTGGTAGACCTGTGGCACAGCAGCTCTTCTCTACACAGATGCTCCTGGGGTGCATTTAGCTTCTCACTGCTCCATCTCAGCCAGGGAGCCTTGTTAGATAAGTTTGATCTGTTCTGTATGAGCATTCCTATCTTCATCCTTTAATAACGTGCCAGGCTTGACTTGCCCTAATTTTCGTTAATGTGAATTAGATAAATGAATTGCAGGTTATAAATGGATCTCATCAAAACAGAAGAAACAAAAGAGCATACATTAGCAGTGTTGGCAGGCTTCATCTTCTACTAATTGCTTTGGAGGGAAGGGATATGCAAATGCTGCCTGCTGCACCACCAAAGGATCCCTGCTGCAGCTCCCGAGTAATGTTACGGGAAGAGGAGGAATCTCCCTGGCCCTGGAGCACAGGGCATGGTTGAGAGGTTCAGGGTAAACTTGGAAAAGAAGCCTAAAACATAATAATGTTGAGCCACTGAAGAGCAACCTCAGCAGGGAGTTACTGCAGTGGAATGAAAGGTACCAGCACAGAGCACTGAAGCAGAGGGGCTGAAAAAGTTACCCCCGGCTGTGCGGAGTTTCGTGAACTCCAAACCTTGTTTTATTGAAGAAAGTGAGGAGGGTGTCTTATACTTCTACATAAGGTTTTGCATGGATATATACCTGCTGGTCTATATAAACAGCTTCCTGGGGTGGAAGCTGAGAGGGGCAGTGCAAGGCAGCACAGCCACAGCGTCAGCTGCCGTCTGGCCACGGGAGTTAGCAGCAGTGCCCTGCAGTGCCCTTGCATAGTGGTGTTGGGCAGGGTGTGCTCAGAGCACCCAGCTGGCCGCTTCCAGCGTGCCCAGCCCTGCTCCCCTCCTCCCCAGAGCGTCCCCTCGTGCTCCAAGGAGAGCACGCTCCTGCCTGCGTGTTCTATCTTTAGATACTCTTGTGGTGATAAAGTGGCCTTCTGTGTGGCCCATATCTCTTCTGAAAGGCTTTTTTATTGTCATGATGGAAGAAAGGACAGGGCTCCAGCCTTGATTAGGTCGCATCTATGGTCATTCTCATTTAGGTTCATCTGGTGAGCTGAAGTTTTGTACTAGCCACACACAAAGTGGCTGGAGCTCACAGGGAAGCAAGGGGGTGGGTTTACAGGATTACAGGGAACCAGCAGCTGCCTCCATTTAGTGCATGTCCCCCTCACTGCCCCGTGCGCTGGAGAGGGGTCTGCTCAGTTCCTGTGGTCTGCACAGAAGTCCCATAAACAGCAGTATTTGCAGTGTGGAAACGATGACTGAGGACTGTTGAGGTGCACTGTTAAAAGCAAGATCGCTTCTGTTGATCCAAACCCATCTTGCAGGTGCCTTGCCCGTAGGTTCTCATACTCTTCTCTTTCAAGACACTCATCAAACACACCAGATAAACTTATCACTCCAGGTTTTTAGTTTTGTTCTGTTTTGTTTTACACAAAGTGGGTTACAACCTCAAATGAGGGGTCAAGCAGAAAAGGTGGAAGATCCCATATGAGATGAGATGCAATTAAAGTTGGCCTTCCAGATGTTTCGACCTCTTGTTTCAGGTCAAGCCCTCACAACCCTTCTGCAGCATCTGACCTCTCCACCTATTCCACCGCCTCTCTGATAAGTAATGAAGAACAATTTGAAGACTATGGGGAAGGAGATGATGTGGATTTTACTCCCAGTAGCCCATGCCCTGATGATGAGACCAGAACCAACGCCTACTCTGACCTTGGCTCATCTGTATCTTCCAGGTTGCTCCTTATTCATTAACAAACATTTTTTCCACTTTTTATTTTCTTCTTTGAGCATGGGTGACCATCCCAGAAATCCCACTGGTTACTTAGACTCATCTTAAAAGCAAAATATTTTCAGTTCATGTTTTGCATTCTATTTGACAAACTACATCCGCTAATTAAGGCTATCACAAATCTGCTAACTAGTCTGGGGTTCCATTAACATAACTGGGCTGTTTTGCTTGTAGATATTTCTTTCTATTGCAAACGGCATGTTTCACATTTGGAGCTAATATTAAAAATGATGTGCTGTGAAGTAGGAAAACAGCCTAACCCCTGTGCACTAGCCCTGGTGCAGGTGAAGACTTTCAGGAAAGCTGTTCCTCTTTAGTGTTCCAATACCTCACATCTTAAGCGGTAGCCTGTCAGATGAGGTGCTATGTAGACATAAGAGTGTGTGTGGAGCAACCATCTGTATTCTCAAGTTTCCTGGAGGATGCAGGCTCTCTGGGAGGTAGAAGTGCCACTGCAGTCTGCCCGTTCCTGGATGTCACCTCCCTCTCGGTAGCTCTTGGCCTGTGACAAAGTCAGTTGCTGATTGGAAGCCCTTCCCCAAGAAAGGGATAGATGAGCAGGGCTGTGGAAGAGCATGAAGATGCTTTAGGATTTGTCTATTTGGACCGGTAGCATGTGAAGGCCTTTGCTCATACAGGACACTGCATCCTTCATTCCGCATGCGACCCCTGTGTGCCCTGATGTTACAGGCACCCCCAAACCCACCCAGCCGCCATCTGCATGCGGAGCCATCACCCCTCTGCTGCCCTCCCATGATGATGACTTGTGTTCTTCATCTCCCGTTTCCTCAGGGCTGTGCAGACCTGCCCATTCCCATTCGAGGGGCTCAGTGCACTTCATGCCATGTTTGCTCTCTTTTATTTTGGTTTATTTTCTCTTTATTATGCTCAGAGATATTCTTATCTACTTTTAAAGCCATGTCCACTTCTGCCTTCCTCCTTGTTCCAGGGTTCTCTCTACCCTCTTATCTGAGGGGGTTTGTGTCACTTCTTCCTGCTAGACTGCTCTATTTTTCTTCATCTTCCTACCTTTCTTTCTCTTGGAGGAAAATACTCCTTCACGTTGCATGCCAGGCCGTAGAGGGAAGATGGGCACGATAAGAGAGCGACACTGCTGGGGCGAAACGTGCTAATGCAGCAGCTCTTTTGTGCATCGCATGGGCTATGTGTCTTGTGCTCTTCCTCCAGTCCCCCAAATTGCTTCCTTGCACTGATACCCTGACCACTTCCTCCGTAAAGGCTCAGCTTGGGCAGGTAGGACTGGCATTCCCAGTCAGCACCTCTGAGACAGACTAACTGCTTGAGCAGGAAGGTTGGACTAGATGATCTCTAGAGGTCCCTTCCAACCTTAAATATTGTAACTGTGGGAAGAGGTGGCAGGTCCCCAAACCCCTCACCTGCAGCTCTGTATGACACAGGCAAGAGAAAAAAAATGATGCATGTGGGTTGCTGTAGTCACTGACATGTCTCCTTTCCTGCAAACAGTGCTGGCCAAACGCCCCGAAAAATGAGGCATGTTTATAACAGCGAGTTGCTGGATGTTTACTGCACCCAGTGCTGCAAAAAGATAAATCTGCTCAACGATTTGGAAGCCAGGCTGAAAAACTTGAAAGCAAACAGGTAAGCAGCCTATGGCACTGCTTTCAGCAGGCCCTGCTAGCAAGGGACCTAACTAGTGGCAGGAGGAGAGGAGGGAAGTGCCCTCCCCTTCCCTGTGTGTCCTCCTCTCATGTGCGTTTGTCACTTGTGCAAAAGTCTGTCTGAATTTCAGACCTTGACATCTAGCCTGGACCAAAGTGCTGTTTCTTATTTGCTAATAAGTATTTCTCTGATTAGGGTTTATTAACGCTGTTTGTGCCTTAAATATTTTAACCAATAGATTCTTTGGCTGAGTGGGAATGTTGTATCCAGGATATCATCCTAGGAAGTGCAATCTGCCATAGTGCCTTGGTACGAGCCAAGGTGTATAACCTTAGATAGACCATGCAAAAAGCTGTGGGTCAGCAGAGATACTTCATTACTTCATTCCAGTGGGATTTTCTTTTTCCTAAAGAGAATTTGTCAAAATAATGAAACGTGGAATTAGGGCAACAATGATTTGACAATTTCAGTTTGGGGCCTATGATTTTTTTTTCCTTTTTTTCCCCTTACATTTCTATCACCATCACTTCAGCCACTTTTGAAGTGCGGAAGCACTGGGTTCTTTCTTTCCAGGCACTCTCCAGCAGTCGCTATCTCGGGTTTCCTAAAGGAGATAGTTTGCTGGGCTTCTAGCTCCCCCTAGAAACTGGATGCAAGTCCTGCCTGCCTGCACGGTCCATGGCAGAGAGCGCAGTGCAGGGCCTCCCCTGTCTGGAGACACAGGGACATAGTCCCTGCTGTGAAAAAATGTCACTTCTGCCATAGCGAAGAGCCTGGTAAAACCCGCACCAACCTGGCTATGACTTGGGTAATTCTGTGAGTGAGGCTTTCGTCACCTGTTTGCAAGAGCACAGTGCTCTGATATAGCTGTGCATCTGCGTGTGCTCGAAGAGGGGACCTCCTCTTACCTGGGAGATGCAGCTGGATTTGGTTTTTGTTTGTTCTGATCTGGTTCTAGTGCTTTTGTCTGAAAGCTGGCCTCTCCTTTGGATAATACCAGTCTTTGGCTGAGAAAGGAAACGCTAAAAATGGAAAGCATCTCTGTTCCTGTGGTGAATTGGGAAGGATTATGGGGAAGGATAAACTTGCTGTTTATAAAAATCGTCTAAAACCTGGGAGTCCAGAATAAACATCCATCACTAACTTAGTGTCCCTTTGTGACATTTCTAATCTTAGTTTCGCTCTGATTCATGTTGACAAATTTCTGTTAAATATAACAGTATTCCTAAATCCACTTGTTAATGATCACAGTGATATTATGGCTCCACTCAATTTTATGTTATTATTAACTCTGTGGTTTTTGATTAAATTGTCTGAGGATATTGTTCACAGAATCACTTTTTAAATTTGCTTAAAAAAAGTCAATACTAGATGTTCCATTGTGCAATTCATCTGCAGATTAAACTGAGATTGTATCCAACATTGATCAAATAAGTGTTTAATTCCTATATCATTCCTTCTGCTTTCATGCAGCCCTAACAGAAAAATATCAAGCACAGCTTTTGGAAGGTAAGAGTCTTATTTTCCTATTCTAAATACTTGGGGTATGAGCTGTAAAAAAAATCCATGCCTGGGAGTGGGGAGAAAGAGGAGGAATAAGGTTATGAAAATAGAAATCTGCAAACATGCGTTTTCAAGGGAAGGGGTCAGTGGTTGGACAGGGCTGCTGCAGAATGTAGAAGTCACTGTGAGACTTGGGGCAGGTCCTTGAACGGGAAGGGGCAGTTCTGCTGAGGGAATAGCTGCTTCCTTGTCCATCAATTTTCTTCCCATAAACTGCTGATCCCTCAGTTGAGGTGTTGCTCCTCTTGGTCTCAGGCCTTTTTGCTGTTGTTAGTGAAATGCAAAGGAAAACAAGAGCTTCCTTTTTTAAAAGGGCGCTTGTACAAAACTAATCTTTTGACTGGGTAAAGCAGCCATGAGCTGGTGAGGGCTCTAAGTTCCCAAACTGTTTTAGATATCTCCAGATATATATTTTCTGAAACTGTTGTCTAGTGGGAGCTGTTCAAGATTGCCTTTTGTCTATTTAAAGAAAGCTCTTGATGTACAGTTAAGCTGGAAAATTCTATACCAACCAACACAATGTAATGCCATTATCTTAAATTTTTAATACAGCAAATATAACTTGGTACATTGTGTGAATAAGGCTAAGTAGTCTTTAAAATATGCTACTGCTGGTGACAAATCCTGTCAAAAGCAAGAAAGAGCTCACGTCCTGGAACTAATGTCATTGATTGTGCTCAGTATGACTTCATTTAGCTACCAGTTCTTGTAAGACTTGTACTTAAGCAGTTATAATTGTCACTGAAATGGCTGCACAGTTTTTAGCATAGGATGTTTGAAGCGTGAATCCAGGGTTTAAGCTAATATACAGATTCTTCCTTTTCCTTCCTCGTCAAGCAAAATCATTATCCTTCTGATCTTTCAGGCAGCTCTTCCACAATAGTAACTTCAGCAGCAGTAACGGCAGCACAGAAGACCTGTTCCGAGACAGTATAGACTCCTGTGATAACGATATAACTGAGAAGGTGAGGAGCTGAGTGCCTTGCAATAGTGCCAAACTCAACTGCTGCTGGAGATGTGCATCCACTGATGAAGCTCTCTTGATGAGTTACCAGTTCTCTTAAGGAGGTTGTTCAAAATGTCCAAGATATAATTAATCCATTAATATCATGACTCTAGTTCATGAAAATGCAAGAACTGTGGAAGTAGGGAACTAGGGTTCTAGTGGTGTGTGAAGAGAGATGCAGATGGTCTCAATTCTTCCCTTTCACTTCCTCTTCCAGGTAACATACCTGGAGAAAAAAGTGACTGAACTGGAGAATGATAACCTGACAAATGGTGACCTAAAGAGCAAATTGAAACAGGAAAACACGCAGCTCGTTCACAGGTAACAAAGCACAGAGCCAGTTCTCTTTATCATGTTGTAGCAGACCTAGAGCCAAGATGGGGGAAAGGAGCTCCTCCATCTATAATATGACCATGTCTTCTGCCTTTTGCTGCCAGACAAGTGAGATAGGCTTCATCTGAATCCATCCAAATGAAATAGGGCTGTCTTGCTATATTTACAGCAAACAGAGGCCTTCCAAGCCAGTTTCTTAGTAAAGAAATGTTCCTGACTTGTGCAGGTCAAGACCTTCTGTTATAAGAGAGTTTTGACCCACTTGTTTGTTAATGTGCATAATAAGAGCAGAAGGCTGGTGATTGCTGATGGACTAGTGCAGCTTTTTGAGACTGCGAATGAAAGAATAGATGAACAGATACTGCTTAATTCTATTGGGAAGTTTAGTGCCAATAAAGGTGATGAAAAAGTCAGGAGTTAAAGGAGGGGGAAGAAGGGAGGTAATGAAATTGTACACATTATATTAAAGTAACTGTGAAACTATTGCTGAAATGAAACATGATTTCCTTAAGAGTTCATGAGCTTGAGGAACTATTGAAAGACCAAGAGACATCAGCAGAACAGACCCTGGAAGAAGAGATAAAGAGACACCGAGAAGCATACAGCAAGTATGAAAAAGAGAAGGGCACAGAAATTGAGCTGCTAAATACAAGGTAACAAGCTTGTTGGTGCTATAGAGAGCAGAGCAACTGTTCTTTCCTTCCTCTCTCCCTTGCACCTCGACTGTTCACAACCAGACAAGACACAGATGGTTACAGAGAGGAGCTATGCAGTTGCATGCAACATGCAACTAATGCCCAAAAGCCTGGAGAATGTTTTACATTAATGCTGTAATCCACATAGCCAACGTAGACAGCTTAGCTGGATTTTTGGCATGGATTCAAATAGGGAGTTGTTACCAGCTGTGCCAGACACTTGTCATTGCTTAGGTTCCTTCCTGCTTAATTCTCTTTCGATACCTGCTGTGATGAGCACTAGGACCTGAGAGTCAGTGTGACATTTTTAATTTTAAAAACAGATGAATAAACTATTGATAATTCACAGTAAAAATGCTAAGATTAGCAATATTTTCTCATTTATGCTATTAAATACAAGTGAAATGATTTTTTTAGAGCATAGTTTTTGTATGCTTGCATTCTTAGAGACATTTGCTATAAGGCTTCTCTTATTGACACAGGGTTCTGCAACTGGAAGAAGAAAATGGTGAGCTGAAAACCACTGTCACACGACTGAAATCACAAACGGAGAAATTAGATGAGGTAACTAACTCCAGCATGCTGAACATGCTCGTGATGTCAAGTGCACTTTGACAGCAGCTTGACTCATTTAAAAACAAACTCATATGGTGACTGCCTCTCCATTTTTTTAAACTGGCATTGCTGAAACAGGGAGTGTTAGTGAAAATAAAATGCTGATCACCTTTAGTGGTAGACACCCTTGCAAACTTATGACCAGCTATGTCTATGTATGTGTTACGTGACTGGGGATGACTCATACCTTTTCAAGCTAGCTGTAAAATTTCCCATTTCCCCTTATTCCAGGAAAGGCAACGCATGTCAGATAGGTTGGAAGACACTAGTCTACGACTGAAGGATGAGATGGATTTGTACAAGAGAATGATGGACAAGCTGCGACAGAACAGACTGGAATTCAACAAGGAGAGGGAAGCCACACAGGAGGCAAGTGTGGAAATGGATGTTAGGGAATTGCATGTTGCTTGTATGGGAGCCCATCTGAAAAAGAATGAGCAGAGACAGAATAACACAGCAATCTGTATTACTAGATTGGGTTTTTATGGCAGGCTACCCATAAGGTAATGGATACTGCAAGAATGTCACATAAATGGCAGTCAGTTACACAAAGGGTCTTAAACTCTTTGGAAGCTTAGTAAGGTAAATGTTACAGCACACATTCAAGATGAAGTTGGCCTGGGGAATTAAGCCTCCGGGACACCAGGCTTGGAGATCAGAGCTGCATCTAGCCTCTGTGATGGTTCCTAAGTGGTGACTCGCCTTTCTAAAGAGCAGCAGGGAGCTATGTTGAGGGAATTCCAGCCTTGAACAGGGCCGTGGTGCTGCTGTCGCAGTGTGAAGGTGCAGCACAGAGATGGCTCCTTCCAGGGAGGGCTGGTTGTGTGGAGACTGGGGAGATGTGACCTGTGTGCCAATCCCACAGCTCATTGAGGACTTGCGGAAGGAACTGGAGCACCTGCAGCTGTACAAGCTGGAATGTGAGCGCCCAGGACGGGGCAGAAGCTCCTCATCCAGCTTGAGCGAGTTCAACGCCAAAACCAGAGAGGTGGAAATGGAGCATGAAATAAAACGTCTGAAGCAGGTGAGCAGCACATGGGTCTCTCGAGCTGTAGGTGAGTCCCAGTGCAGAATGCCTAGAATGGTGACCCCCTATCATACTCCCATTAGATATCGTACCCTTCCTGCCTGAAGTGGAATACCTGCCTTGCATTTCCTGGCAATGAGCAGTGTAAGTTGTGCACGTAGGATTTGTTTGTACAAGCAGTATAAGCTGTGGACATAGGAAACACCTACAATTCACGGGGAAAGGATTGTCACTGTTAGTAAAAGTTACTTTTTGGATTGCAACCACACTCTGTCATCCAAGCTACCTGTGATATGTTTTTTTAATGAAATCTTCCACTTGGAGCTTAAATATGATGTCTTTTTATCCTTAAACAGGAGAACCAGAAGCTTCGTGATCAAAATGATGATCTTAATGGTCAGATCCTAAGTCTCAGTCTTTATGAAGCTAAAAATCTCTTTGCAACGCAAACAAAAGCCCAGTCACTTGCTGCTGAAATTGATTCTGCGTCAAGAGATGAGGTAATGTACTGTTTTTCATCAGCTACTGCTTCAAAAAAAAACCCTAGGCTTTTCAGTGCAATTAATTGTCAAGGTGAAATACCTGAAGCTGGCAAATGAGCAACAGAAAATACTGCTTTCTTAGGAGCTGGAGTCTAGAAAAATGGCTTAAATCTAGCAGTATTTTTGGCTACTCCTTTTAACACCAACTCCATACCCTCATCGAAGTGTGTTACTGAGCACAGAGGTTTCTATGAAGACAGTTTCTATGGAATAAAGACAGTTACTTAAATTTTTACTCTGTTGTAGATTTAGTACTGAATTATTTCAGTAACAAGCTCTCCCTTGAATCTAAGCTTCAGCCAGATTCTTTCTGTAGCGGAGTCAGCTTCTTGGAGGAAATATATAGTATGCAAGCAAGAAAATGGTTAATGGTTTGGAAAATGCTGTAGGAGATCCATGTACATGAATCAAGCTGGTAGAGTCGAAGCAGTCCTTCGAGCACCAGAACGTGTCATGAGGTCAGGCTGATGGAGCTGTAAGAGCTCCCAGAGACAGTTAGTGATGGGGACTGTAAAAGGGTTTGCCTCTGTACCTTGTTTATTCTGAACAGAACTTCCTGTCTCTTCGTTAAGAGGAGTCCTGAGACAACCCTTTTTACTCTCCCTGTACTTGAATGACCCTGTTAGCCTTAGCCCCTGGGCAGTCCCTTGAGGTGAAGGACGTGCTTGAGTTTCTTGATGAAGCGGAGAGCTGTGAAGAAAACACATTTATTTGTTGAACTCGGAGCAAAAGCACCTGAGGTTTTTGCTGTTGCAAGGTGAATCTTGCCCTGCTCCCTCTCCCTCCTGAATTGCTCTTGCCTGCGGTAGGCAGTTGCTCCCCCTCCAGAGGAGGGTCCTCTGCCACTGTCAGCCAGCCTCAGTAAACTCAGGGAGCAATTCAGACCTTTCCCACTGCAGTGTTCTGTGTAATCAGAATGCAGAAAGACAGTGCAGGTTTAGGATGGGATTTTTCTGAAGGCTCTTGGAAACAGATGCCCTAATCGCGTTAATGTAAGGAGGAACTGGTACACTAATTCTGCTGGGGAACTTTGGAAGATGGGCACAGCATCGTTCATTAGACCTTTGAGCTCTGGAAGGCCTCGTAGCACCTGCAAAGGTGCAGACACCTTGCTGCTTACATGTAGCATTTCATATAGAGCTTAAAACAGCATAAGAACAACCTGGCGTATATTCCAAGAATGCAGTGTGGGAGTTTGGGGAGGTGAGGTGTTTGTTTTAGGGTGTCTTTTTGTGTTATTTGTTGTGCCAAAAGGTAGCTTTGCTCACAGTGCATAATATTGAAATCATCTTCTGTTCACAAGCCTTCTGTGCAAAGTGCTTTAGATTTCTGTAGACTTAAAAGCCTAAAGCTCTTAAACTGAGATGAGGAAGCCAGTGTAGAGGCAGGATGTGTTAGATACTGAATTTCTGGTTCAAATGAGCTGCCAAAAGACTCCTGATAGTAACTGCTCACTGCCTTCCCAAGTGGTAAAGATCTTTAACGTCTAGATCATCTCTTTATTAGAGATAAAGGAGAGGAGGTAGAGGTAGAATACCTGCTGGAAAAGGAAGCGGATAATCCTAGGCAGCACTAGTCTCTGCCCTCTGTCTGATCTCACAACATTTATAAAGTAGTGACAATGCTGCAAGAGATGCATAACTTTGAAATGTTGTGTTTCAGCTCATGGAGGCCCTTAAAGAACAGGAGGAGATAAATTACAGATTGCGACAGTATATGGACAAGATCATTTTGGCAATCCTGGACCACAACCCCTCTATCTTGGAAATAAAAAATTGAAGGGATTCCTAAAGGAGAAGCAGCAACTGTCTGACACTTCTGCACATGCCACTGGATCTAAACAACACTCTGATACTGTAAATGAACCTATAAATATATATATATTATATATATACACTAAGTGTGAGTGTGGGTGCGCGGGTGTGTTTATATGATGTTTGGTACACTGTTATTTGTCATTGTATTGGCTTGGTTAGACTTTTTCCATGCACTTTCAATACCTGTAATGAGATAGATACTGTATATTAATGTAATAACAATATAACTGGATCATGCTGTTTTAGATACTGGACAAAATGACTCTACCTCTAGTTGTTAAGGTAAAAGACAATGGGAACATATGGATACGACCCTAACTTTAAGAGCAAGAATTGTTCTTTTGTTCTTCCAGGAATTTGGGTACCACAAAAAAATCACCATACCCAGGTTCAGGTCCTGACTGGTGCTGGCAATGTAATTTCCTGTTCAATTTAGCTTTATTACTTAAACCACACATTTGTGGGGGAGAGAATCTTTGGGAGTAAAAGGAAAGACACAAAGTAAAAGAGGAGAAGAGGAAGACATTACAGAGTTGTTGCTATAGATGTAAAATCACCATCCACGTGTTTGCCACTGTCAGCACAAAGTGCTTTTTATTATAAGATCACTTTGGAGTCTCCTTTGGGATGCTCAGAGCCAGGGTGCTCCATAGTGTGTGTGTGTGTGTGTGTGTGTGTGTGTGTGTGTGCGCGTGCATGTGTATGTTTTATGCCAGGGTCCCTGTAGCATTGAGGCTAAGGAGTTGTTGTTCAAATTCTATTCCCCTATTTTCAGGGGTTTATCATGGGCCATTAAAATGAATTTTGGGATCCTGCTCATTCCTCCACACCCTCATCCCTTAATTTTAAGTATTTCACTAAGAAACACATTCCAGTTCTTAAAAAACAAACTAAAACCGAGTGAAACAGCCTGCCTCAAAGGAAGGAGGAGCCTTTTAAATCCATTTGCTTTCCCACCCCCAGCCAAGCTGCCCTGCTGTGAGATTTTGCAGGTGAGCTGTGACGAGGACCGGCTGGGTCCCAACGCAGCCTTGCAGAGAGGTCTGGCCTGAAGCATCTTGAGCCCTTAGGGCACTACACCCTCCAAGAGGTTGGTCAGGCCGAGCACACAGGGGCCCAGCGAGAGCTGCGAGCAGGGAACACGTCCCCATTGAGCCGAGCGGTTGTGCAAGTGCTTAAGGCTGAACTGTGACCGCTCCTGGACATCAGTGGGCCAGAACATAAGCTTTAAAGTTGAGTCTGTGTTTAAATGCTGCCTTAAATAGGGATGGGCTTCAGCACGTGCCTGTGTTCTCCTGAGTTGGAGCCGTGTATTGTAGGACTAGGACTTTTTATAATTAATAATGTGACTTAAAAAGCTTATGGAATTGGTTGATAGATGATGAATGTTAAATTTTATTCCATGCACTAGAACCTTTTCTAATTAAAAATTTCACACTTAAACCACCTTTTGATTCATGCCAACTTGTAAAGGCAGGGATAGTTGCAGAAAAACGGGCCCAAGAAACTGGCTTACCCCAGTGCATAGAAATGTTTCCTCTGAGTGCACTCCCCAGAAGAATGTTGCAGTAGCAATGACTGTGCTTTTCCGTGTATTTCTTGCTGTTGGCAGTGTCTTGCCCCTCGTACTCTCTTGATGTATCTTGGTGTGTATATGTGATGCATTTTTTTTCCTGAATTTGAATACATAAAACATGTATTCAGTTATGGATGTAAATATATATATATTTTTCTGCAGACCTTGTGCTGTTGCCTTCAGTGATGTCTTAGTGGAGTCATGGGAAGGGAGGAGGGAAGTGCCAACATGGAACTTTCTGGAAGGCAAGAAAATAAAAGCTATCTGTTTTGGTGTCATTGCCTTAGGTGGTGTAAAGTGACTGAAACACCAGAAGGGACAGAGGAAAAACTGTGGGGCTCAGTGTCCCCCGGCTCGCTATAGGGCTCCCATGGGGCTGGAGATGCGATCACGTTCAGACATCTCGGGGCTGGACTCCTGAGGCCCGAGGGGAAGCTGGAGGAGGGATTTGACTATTATTCCTTCATCACTTGATGATATAGAATGTTCTGAGCAGAATTACAGCAGCTTCTGTTGGTTGGAAGTGGAGAAAGGCCACACTGAGCCCTTGTGAGGCGGAAAGCCTGGTGTGACCTGAGACCACAGATCCCAGGGAGACACAGCTGGAGTTTTATTCCAGATTCTATGCAGATGAATATGTAAGACGTCAATAATCATGAGAGCTGGGTGCCATCTTCACAATGACACTCTAGCAAAGGGTTCCCAGCAGTGAATTTTCAAAACATGTGTGGGATTTCTTGTTTAGCTCTGCACCCAGCTGCCTTAGCCTTTAAAAGCTGTTCCTTGCTCCACACTGTTGCACCTGAAAAGTTGTCTTACACCACCTTGGTGTTATCTGTAGCTTTATTTTATTGCATAAAGTGTGGTTACGTTTCTGCTTCTGTGGAGACCCTTGATACTGCCTTCTGTAAGTGCTCGAAAATATTTGAGGATTGAAAAACAAGAAATGTAGGTTGTGGGTGGGAGAGGCATTTCATTTGCAGACATGTGTTTTCCTCTGTTACCCGCATTTAAAAATAATTAGCTGCAGTTTTAGGTTGCACGTAGTCACAGCTTCCCAGTAACTAGTGCCATTAGATGGTCCTGTCTTCCCTTCAAAGCCGTTCTGTCCCAGGAGCACCACATTTACGAGACGAAGGTATCTGGGTGACGAGGGATTGTCCCTGACGGGTCGCTGGGGCAGGCAGGACAGGAATGTGATACTGGCCCCAGGCCGAGCTCTGCGGCTGCAGCGCTGCTGGCAGCCGGCGTGGGCAGGAGGGAGGCACCGGTTTTGGTGTCAGCTCTCACACAAATTACTTCTCTCTCTGCCTTGTCTCCCTTCCCCGTCGCAGCCCGGCTGCAGCAGCACCTCCAGCCTCCATCTCCTAATCCGTGTTAGTGCTGGGGGGACCAGACCTCCCTTCCCTGGGCAGGTAACCTCAACCCCGCCACGCAGCGCCATCGCCATCGAGCCGAGCTCAATGCAGCAAAGATTATCTTGTTAAAACTGCGTCCTTGCTGCGCCTGGGGCTCAAGTCTTTCGTAGTTCTGTCTCTCGATGTATTCCTACGTTCTTTCCCCTGTAGGTACTGAAATAAGAAGTGGTACCCTGGGCAGCCTAACCGAGCACCTCTGCAGGTGTTTGCACAGTGAGAAAAGACGACTTGCTCCTGGCTGGAAGTTCAAACGTCATCAGAGCTACTGCGGAAAAACCGCCTGGCTCAAAGCGTGCGTGTCCGGGTACCTGCAGAGCTTGTCGTGCGGGATTTTTCTGCTCCAGGTTGCTCCACTCTGGTATCAGTCATTTGCATCGGATGGTGCCTTTGTGGGTTTTGCTGTCAGAGGGTGATACTGAGTCAAAAATACCCTGACATCAAAAGAATTTTTTTTAGCTTTTTGAATAACTTCTATTAAAGACCATAGCTGCTTGAGAATTTGTCACATTCAGAAGTGTCACAGTGACAAACTGGAGCCGGGCCTCCATTCAGTGGAGTTCTTAATACGAAAATTTGTGACAAGTTTCAGGGGAAAAAAAAAAAAAAGAAATCAATGCACTTTGGTTGCCAAATTTCCTTTTATGGCCTTGGGAGAAGTTCAGATATTTCTCAGCAAACTCTATAGGCAAGATTAAACACAACATTATTAATCCTCACGGACACACACAGCACTTTGCTGTCTGAGTGCAGCAAGGCCCCTACTACCCTCCCTGAGAAGATCTTGACCTAAACTATTTAGGCTCCCTAATCTTGGTTAGTAATGAAGGGCTTGCAAGCTGACACATAAACACGTGCTGTGAGCGGCCGCATCGGTCACTCTCCCCACCGTGATGCGAGGGGCGTGCGAGGAATCAAAGAACAGGGATTTACAAATAAAGACGTCATTTTTCTTACTTAATGACAGCGAGTATACAGTGGTTTGCTCTAAAGCAAGCACTGTGCAGCGTGTTTTGAAGAACTTTTTTCCAAGGAAGGAGCTCGCAGGTGCTCAAACAGTTGCCCAAGCAGAGGCTTGTGTTAACTGGAGCGACGCTGGTGCTGAGGGCGGCAGCGGCGACGCTCGTGTTGCTCTTAGAAGCCGTTTGTTGCTCGAGGGAGGTGATCAAGGGAGCAGGGCTGCCTTCCTAACAGCTGGTTTTATAGCAGGGGTTGGCCAGTTGCTGACGCTTTGTCCCTCAGCGGTGTTTGTCACTGCAAAAGCGGATCCTGGGAGCCATTTGAGCCGTGCCCTGCTGAAGCGGGAGACCTGCGGGGGGTTCTTGTCACCGCTGCGGCCTGCGGGGCCTGCGGGGTGGGCTGGGCCCTACAGCGGCGCCCTTGGCCCTCGCGGGCGAGACGGAGGCGTTGGGCCGCGGCCCCTGCCCCTGCGGAAGCGGAGCATGCGCCCCAAATCGGCTGCGGTTTCTGCTCTGCTTCCCAGCGACCGCAAACAGGTCCGCGAGCCTCTCCATAAGCAGCCCCATTCGACAGAGAAGCAGAGTCAACTGGTGCCTGCTGCTGCCCAGCCTTCATTTTCTAGGGTCACGAAAGAGGAGAAAGGGAAGGGGAGGCTCGTTGTGCTCTGAGGGGAAAAATAGGGGGAATTTCAGCCCCCGTTTGCCACCCCGCAGGAGACGTTGCCCTGGCCGCCCCAGGCCGTGCTGACAACTACATCCCGTGGGTTTTCCGTCACACCAGCAGCTCCCAGCCTCGGAGCTTTGTTCGCCCATGGAGAAAGGGGACGGATTTCCCACCACGTGAGCACACACGTGGCAGTGCTGCATTACAGGGCGCTTCAACGCTGGGGTATTTCAGGGATTGGTGTAAAAGCGGCTGTGGGAGCCGCTGCCTGGCGTGGCCGCGAGCAGGTTGCACCTCTCGGGGCTTGTGCCCTTCCCTGCTCTGAAGCTGCTTTGTGTTCCCATGTTTCATCCAGTGCTCCGAGCGCTTCTGTGTGCACTCTTCTCACCTGATCTTCAGCTCTGGTTATCATGTAAAATAAATCTGTATATATAAATAGATCAGATTTGTACTCGTGTGCCTCTGAGCTGTTAAAAAAAAAAAAAAAAAAAAAAAAAACCTACATAGAGGGGGGAAAATCATGGCAGGATCCCAAGTAAAAAAAAAAAATCTATATAGAGAGTGTGAGGTGCCATCGCACCGTGTGTTTTCCCTGTGTTTCCTTGGAATATTTCAGGGCAATGGTAACCAGCTAACACGGAGCCTCCCCGGCACAACCTTCGTGGGACTTTTAACATTAAACACAAGGACTTCACAATCCTTGAGCCAGCCCTGCGGCACCAGGGGCTTTTCCCGGGCACGATGCCCTCGGGATCAGCGGCAGAGCCTCTCTGCAGCCTGGGATGGCTGAAAACAGAAACCAAAATGGGGAATCTCAGG